ATTTGTGTTTTTAATCTCAAATACTTTTGCTGACATTTTTTTGTTCACTTAAAAGTTTGTGCCTTTTTAAAAAATCTTGGAATAGCAACAATTTTTTATTCGTAATCCAAGGCAAAATCTTTGTCGTGTTCAAAAATCTTAAAAATGTTTGAAAGTATTATAATATTTAGAAACTAACTACTAGTTTTGAGTAACAAAAAACTTTATTCCTAGATTAATCCTTAGATTTTTGCTTATTCATTAACCATCTATCAGTCAACTGATCATTTTGGTTTTACTTCTCAGTTTGTGCATCTAGAGGATTTTTAAGGTGACATAAGCTTGTGTGATGTTCCAGTAAGAGGGCAAAGTGCATTTTTGCAGGAAAAGTTTAAATTTTTTACTTAATTATGCATTCACGTAATCTGTCCACGAGTATGATTTATTGAAATGACCTGAAACAATGTGGTATTTATTAGTAGCTTCTTGCTCCAGGCTCACAATCAGCTGTTTCTGACGAACATTTATGACATTTTGCTGCTTGAGAGGTCTTGAAACAGTCTTAAGTCAGGTAAAACCATTAAAAAAATCAAGAGTGGAGTGTGCAAACTTTAAATCAGTGAGTTAGGATATAGTGATTGATGTTTTTTTGAGATGTCCTTGACTTTCAGCATCGTACAAAATGCACAAACATTCTTTAACTAGTCTACAAATAGAGTGGCTATATGCTCCAACACGGGTGGAAAGATATTTTTATGGGGTCAGGCACTACTTCATACCACTTCATAGAACTTCCACTTCCTAATAAGGACCACTTTATAAAGGCTTTATTATTATTTTATAGATGATTGTACTTGATTTTATAAACATTTTATTAAGGATTAACATTTGCTTGTAGAACATTTATTTAACACTGTTCAAGCGCTGAAGCTGACTCACTGTTTGGCAAGATAAAGTGCTGCCCCTCATTAATTAAATATTAAGCATTTGTCAGTAAGTTACCTGCATGTTAGCACTATACAAAGTGTTTTGGCAAATAAATGTATTTAATAAAAAAAGTGAGCTGAGCATCTGAACTTCATTTACTAAAATAAATTAAAAAGAGCACTTGATCTTCCAAAGAAGTGAGCCTGCTTCAGTTTGAAGACGATTAGCACCGCAATGCTTTCTCAAACTCTGAGAGTTTGCCTCGGGTGGAGGAGTTTGAGTATCTCGGCGTCTTGTTCACGACTGATGGTAGGATGGAGCCGGAGGTGGATTGATGGATTGGGGCCTCGTCCTCGATAATGAGGGCGTTGCTTCGGTCTGTCGTGGTGAAGAGAGAGCTGGGTCGAAAGACAAAGCTCTCTAGTTACTGAGTCTATGTTCCGACCCTCACCTTTGGTCATGAGGTTTGGATCGTGACTGAAAGAATGAGATCCCAGATACAAGCAGATGAAATGGGCTTTCTTTGTAGGGTGGCCAAGCTCAGCCTTAGAGATAGGGTGCGGGGCTCCATCGTCCGGGGGGAGCTCGGAGTAGAGCCGCTGCTCCTCCTCATCGAAAGGAGTCAGTTGAGCTTGTTCGGGCATCCGATTAGGATGCCTCCTGGACGCCTCCCATTAGAGGTATTACAGGCACGACCTATTGGTGGGAGGCCCCGGGGAAGACCCAGAAGTTGCTGGAGGGATTGTGTATCTTCTCTGGCCTGGAAGCGCCTCAAGGTCCCCCAGAACCAGCTGAAAAGTGTCGCTGGGGAGAGGGATGTCTGGGTTTCTCTCCTGGACCTGTTGCCTCCATGACCCAATTACAGACAAACGGTAGAGAAGATGATTGGATGGATGTATAGATAGTAATGCTTTATTAAGTTTTTGCAAACTCAGGACTATCCTATTAGTAAAGCATTAATAAATCACTAGGAATGCACAATATTGGATTTTTGGCCGATACGCCGATATGTTCAGACATATTTGGCCGATACCAATACAGATGTTTATTTTCTCCTAGACCTACTTACAGAGACTACATAGCTTTTTCTGCTGTGTAATTAAAATACTACATTATTCTGCGTGGTCTTTGTCAATTTGGCCTGCTACCAAATGCAGATGCTAAAAAGGGGTCTGAAAATGATGTAACACTATATATATATATATATATATATATATATATATATATATATATATATAAACAGTGCCTTTTATATCGGTGAATTATTTTGATGGAATGGCCGATGTCCGATATTTAACTTTATCGCTAATATCGGCCGATACCGATACATGCCGATAATATCGTGCATCCCTATAAATCACGTATGAATGCTTCCTCACCAGGAAGTGGTGTTAACACTGTTATTACAATCAAACAACTATACACTATAATATATAGTCTTATATATTCATAAAAGTAAGTTTCTTTTGATTGCTCCCTTCTTCAGGGGTTGCCACAGCGATCCAACTCGTATGTAAGATTTGGCAATCTGTCAAGATTTACTCAGATGTGATTTTTTTTTTGGGGGGCCTCATGTTCGTGACTTCTGTAAGTTGAAAAATGTTCTTGTTGCCAACTTTAGAAATGCAAATTTCTTCCTATGGTATTTATGAGTGCTGCATTTGTACAGTTTACATTTTTAATTGCATTTGCATATGTTGTTTTTATCAATATATTTTGTTAATGCGTCTAAAGTTCATTTGATTCTCCTTAAACTTTATTTCTAATGTGTCTGTGTATTCTGTATGTTCCGTGTTGGTTTTAAAGCCGACACATTTTAGGCTCGGCTTCACAGAATTTTAGGAATTTATCACCCACCAAATAGAAAAACAAGTTTCTGGTTTAATTTCTGTGGCACTTAAAAAACAGTTCAAGTTACATTTCGGTCAAACAAAAAGTTACAACAACAATAAAAGTATTGAAATATAACAACATTTAAAGAACAAGTAAAATACAGACAGCAAAAAGTAAGAATATAAAGAACAATGGGGTTTCAAGCAGGGAATTAAAAAAACAAGTATATCATGAAATTAAATAGTTACATAAAAATTATAGCTATGTGCTCAAACAGAGTTCAACTACATTTTCAATTGGATACTCTGAAGTCATGCTTTTATTGTGAAGAGAACAGACTTTCCTTTTGTGTCACTGCCCTGTTTTCACCTTGACATAACAGAGAGTTTTTATTTTTTTATTTACATTTTTTTCTGCACTTATTTCTGCTCCCACCCATGCAGGCTTCAGCCTGGGCCTCTGACTCTGGTCTAATTTAAACCACTGCCGTCATGAGGAGTGGAACACTTTAAATCTGTGTGTAGTAACTTGCTGTCAGTGTAAGGTGTCTTTCTCTGACCTAAATACTCTGAACTTGGAGGAGTTTTTTTGGCCCGCAGCCTGGAGCTCGTACACCGAGGGTTGGGGTGGATTACTGTACGCTCAGTTTTACTAAAGTTTCCACCCCCTGTCCTTTTGTTGGCAGCCCCAGCCGGTCTTTACAGTAGGTGATGTAAGGCCAAAGCACTTGGAGTGACATGCTGTACAATACAATGTGAGCACTGGCTGCAGTCCCACTGAGCTCTGATCCAAACCACTGCTGGGGGCCAGCTGTGTGCAGCTGTGGGTAAAATCAGCTGATTTACGTGGCTCATTATGAGAAACATCCACTTTATTAACTATAATGTACCGAAATGCAAAATCGTGAAAGTGTAGTAATTCAAGATGGCCACCCATAGCACGGCTGCAACAATCAAGTTTGCAGATACAGCAGTCCCTCGTTTATCGCGAGGGATCTGTACCCTGAAGCCCCACAATATATATATATATATATATATATATATATATATATATATATATATATATATATATATATATATATATATAAGGTGTATTAAACCCTTCCCACAATCTTGCAATATTCTAAACAATGTTTCTAAACTAAACGCTCTAAAAGAGCACAGAATGCCATGATTTCAGCTGCCTCATCTGCTCTTTGCCACCTGCAAGTGCTCTTGGCCACGCCCATTTTCTTGGCCACGCCCACTTATCAGCTCTGCACAGTATTAGCTGATCAGCTGCAGCAGGAAGCTTATCCTACAGTATGGGCTGCACAAAGGTGCAGCAGGTGCTAAGTAATTAAAAATAATTTATTGTAAATAAAAAAATTTCTTGCGGATTGTGCAGCTCATCCGTCAGTCAGCCAGTTGTGTGTCTTGTCCAATCTTATTTTGAAAAACCGCAATAGAGCGAGTCCCCGATAAACGAACCGCGAAGTAGCGAGGGACTATTATTAGGCTAAACTTAGTATTAGGCTAAGCTTTGGTGTGGTAGTAGCTGAGATCATTCCCAACACATATTCCGTACAGGTACATGCGCTTCTTTGAGGAACGCTGAGCCTTTATTTAAATGAGAAATTGTATATTTTAAACTCTTTAGATTATTTGCCGTTAGGAAACTTAAAAATGGTTGAAACTCAGAAAGGAAAAACATTTGTGATTTTAGAACGTTGTTAAATCTGAAATCTGTTTGCAAACATTTGGATTTTTGTCTCGTGGGCGCAGCACTGTTTGTCCTGTAAATCAGGACATTATTACACGTCCACATCAGTCTCCATGACAGCTTTGTTGACAGCTACCTGTGCACTTATTAGTTCTTGCAGAGAACACCTGCATGATGTGTCTGAGGGTGTGTTTTCACGTGTCAGCTAAAAATGTGAGCGGGCGTCCCATCTGTCAGCTGTAATTCACAAACATGGACCTCAGGGACCGGACATGTCTGTTCGCCGGCGTTTGTCTGAAAGAGCAATGCACGGATTGACTGAGGAACACGAGAATACAGAAATGAAAGATGTCGGTCACACACTGAGATCAATGTCTTACTCGAACCTGACAAACATCTTTTTACTCTGTTTTGCTCACGTTGTGTTTTCTCTTTCTTTTCAGAGGAGCGGGTGAGGACTGAGCCATCGTCCAGCCGGCCGACAGATCGAATGAGGCTGCCTCTGGGGTTTCTGCGGGCTCTTCCCATGTTTTGATTTGCACAGCTTTTTTATTTTTGTTTTGCTTTAGCAAGGTGGTTTCACAGAGCCGCTTCCTGCCATGCCATCCAACAGTCCTGCTGCCACCGAGCCGCCTCAGACACCGGAGAACGACACATCTAATGATCTGGTGAGACATCTTTATTACCTAAACACAAGGAGACATTCTGTGTCATTACATCTGTGGGTAAAACTGAAGAGCTTTAGAGCTCTTTAGTTTTATCTTGTTGCACCAGACTGAATGAAACTACTACACTTAAGGAAAAATGTGAAATTTCAAAAGTGAAAATCTTAGTTGCGTTAAACTGTTGGTGAATTGTAAACAGTAAATGCTTACGTGGCAGTTACGAGTCATTTTTATGGATGAAAGGATCAGTTTGTTACTCTGACAAATACCTACACTAACTGATTTATTGTTATGTGACAAAAGTCAAAAGGTGAGACAGAAATTAACGTCAATATCCGAGATTAATAATTAGGAACACAGTGTGTATAATCTGTCAGCGTTATCACTCCACAATATTGTTAACCAATTCTAACAAATCCAGAAATAAACCAATTTAGTTGCTTTCACGTGTATACATATGTTAAATATTAATAATGTCATTTAACCAAACAGACTAAAGCTTTTAACTTGTTTATTTTTTGTTATACTGTTTTTACAGTGTGACTGTTAATGAAGCATTCACACTATTGTGACCCATTTTTCTTCTGAACATTTTCGGCATCTTTCTCATTCCACAGTTTTTGTGCTATTTCAACAAATCATAAAACGTTCAGCTCTTTCAGGACAGTCCTGCTATGACTTTTGGTTTTGGTCCAACTTTAGCTTTTTGAACTATTTAGCTTTTTCTGCCATTTTTCTCATATAAAATGAATTCAGCTCATTTTACATCCTTCAAGTCTTTAGATCTGTTTACAACCTTTTACTGCTCCTTTCACATGTTCTGGTTCAGCTTCTTTCAGCTTCCTTGTTCAATTAAACTTTTTTCAGCTACTTTCAGCTAATTTCAGCTGTTTCTTTCAGCAGCTCTTTTCAGATTCTTTCTGCTAACTACAACATTTTTGAGCTTCTTCGAACTTCTTTCTGCTAATTTCAGCTTTTTCTGCTATTTCAGTTATTCTTTAGTATTTTTATGCAAATTTTAGCTTTTTTGGCTAATTCCACATTTGTTTCAGCCGTTGTTCAGCCTAATTCAGCAAAAATATGCTCTTTCCAATTCCTTCTTGTAATTTCAACTACTTTCTGCTTTTTTTCAGCTACCTTTCAGCTGTTTGCTTGCTAATTTCAGCTTTTTTCAGATAATTTCCACTTTTTTGTGCACATTTCTGCTTCTTTCAGCCTAGTTGGTCAAACATGTGTTCTTTCTGCTTTATTCAGCTAATTTTAGCTGGTTTACCTTTTCAGCTTCATTTAAAGCATTTTTTTTTAGCTAATTTCAGCTGTTTTCAGATAAATTCTAATTTTTTTGTGGTAATTTCTGCTACTTTCAGCCTAATTAACTTCTTTCAGCTAATTACAGCTTGTTACGCTCCTTTCAGCTTTTTCTGCTAGTTTCAGCTACTTTTAGCAGTTTTGTGCGAAATTTAGCTTTTTCAGCTAATTCTGGATTTTTTTAAATCTCATTTCAGCTCATTCCCCTTCCTCCTTGTTTAAGCTTCTTTCTGTCTTTTCAGCTACTTTTCAGCAAATTTTTAAATTTCAGCTTTTTAACTACTTTCCTATTTCTTGTGCTCATTGCTGATTCTTTCTTCTTTCTTTCTTTCTGCTTTCTTCTGCTAAAGTAAGCTTAGTCTTACATTTCAGCATGTTTTTTTTTAGATAATTTTAGCTGTTTTTCATCAAGTTCTTCTGCAATATGCATTCACACTGCATTTTTGAAGGAAATGCAATTCCTCTAGTTCTTGTTAAATATTCATTTGAAGAGCTTGTTTTGGTGCCAGATTCTTACAGGTTCATTCAGATATAATAAACCCATAACCAACATTTACTTTTTAAAAGGCAGTAATGTTTTTGCTTGGTTTGTGTGTGCCTGCGTGCACCCGTCAGGACGAGAGTGGGGGTTATTGGCTGTGACCAACGTGTTCGTCCTTTCACCTCGTATTTGAGCATCAGCACTGTCACAGTTTGGTATGAAAACATGCACCGTTACACCCCTAATGGGTTTGTTTTATCTGCAGTGTTAGCAAAATATCTCATGAACTAGACAGATTTATATGAAAGTCTCAGAAAGTTATCATTGGCTGGACATCTACAAATAATTAACTTTTAGACTCGACCCCATTCAAGGTGGCAGTCACATCTGTTTATTAGCAAACACAAAAACAGCGATAACTCAGTCAGTTTTATAGATATTGAGCTAAAATTTGACGGATGGAGCAGAGTCATTCACAACATACGTAGAGAGCTAACAGATCTAGCAGGAAGTCACTCGTTTACAATGAGACATTGTGTGTCTCTTCTAAACTTGAGATTAAATTAATCTAAAACTAAAAGTTCACCAAATCCACTTTAGATACAACCTAAACGACTCACCCTCCTCCTGACACATCCTGCTTTTCTTACAACCTCTATTGCACGTTTTTTCTTTATTTATGTGCACAAATGCTGCGCCACTGCTGTTGTCGTTGCACCTTGGTTATTATTCCAGCCGCCACCTTCTTTACTGCAGCCGTCATTAACCCCACCACTCGTCTTCACAGCCCATGGTTAAGGGTTTGTTTAAGCCTGAGCACACAGAGACCCTGCTGAGCCGGCCTGAGTCTGCAATGATTAAACTCACTGTTATTTATTTACGCTCACTGCAGACCATTTTAAGTTCCACATGCCCAGCCACATGTAGACATGAGCGCAATGTTTCAAACTGTCTGTTTCCCCTTAAACCCATAATCAGCCGCACACAGACACGCATGTCAACACGCAGACGTGCAGGTGAAGAATGGCTCTTTTCATCTGCGCCCCTCGAAGCTCGGAGCGGTCCTCGTAAATCAGCGAGAAGCTTGAAGTCCATTCTGTAGAACGGCCACATAAGGACGTGTCTCACTCGCTCACACACTGGCACCAAGCCAGAGCACAGCGTCCCTGATGGAGCAGTTTGTAACTTCCTGAGATCTCTCCCACAAAGAGTGCAGAAAAGCCCAGAGAGACATCAGAGGAAGTTGCAGAGTTTGAAAGCAGAGAGGAAGACGAGGAGGAAGAGTTATGGGAGTTTTTTTTGACTCCGTTTATAATCCAGTCCACATGACAGGAAAGCTGAAATGCTGAGCGCTAGCTTACACAGAGTCTGAGTCTTGGTGAGTTGTACAGGTACTGAGCTAATATTTGTAGTGGTAGTAGCTGACAGTCATTTACACTACATACTCCAAGCACAGATCATGCAAGGTATTGCAATATTTTCAAAGTTTTACCAAAATGGCTAAACAATTTTAGTATAAACTGGCATGGCAAGGTATTCTTCAAAGAATGCTAAGCATTTATTTATTTTTTCTTTAAAATCTTCCGTCTGTCAGCATTACAAAACACACATGTCACAAACTGCAAAGATAATTTGAAGGCTGTCTTAACGTTTTTCCAGGACATGATCAATATATGAAGAGTTCGTATGCCTTCTCACGTCAGTTCTCTACTTTGTTTTTCTAATTGAAATGTGCAAAATATATATTCTTTAAATGCCCATATGTTCTTATAGAGCATAATTCTGTTAATGTTTAAAAAAATCAAATGTTTTTCATGTTTTAACCTAGTAAGTAAGTCTGAGCTAAATCTGAACATATGGTTTAGTCTATTGACTGATCTGTCAGCTGCTGAGGAGACGAGCGGTAAATTAGAGTAAAATATCATACAGTCTCTTTCTATTTGTGGATACTTACGAGGTGAATGATCAAATTTGAAGTGAAGTACAGAGAAAGCAGACAAACGGGGCAATCCAGAAAACAAGGACATCGGTGTGAGACTGAGAGGAGGACATGGAGATGGTGGGGAAATGGAAAGAGGACAAACTGTCTGCTGCTGATGGGATCCTCTGGTTTGCAGTCTGGTTGCTTAGCAACTGCCTAAAATAACCTGCCGGGAGACAGAAATAGACCAAAGACACATAGACAAGAATGGTCAGTGTTGGTGTTTGTGTGTGTTCACATCATTTTTAGGATCTTGGCTCTGGTGTTTACACCTCTAAAGGATTATATCAGGCTTGTAGTATTTTATACTATAGACCACATATTCAGTACTTTATTGTTTTAGTGCTAAATTATACTCGGGAGTGTTTGTTCTGACATCTGGACTACACACCAGCCGGACAGGCATAAAGCCTTCCCTTGTTCCAGCCGGCTGCTAAGCTGATCATCAGCAAAGTGACGTCACCGTGTTTAGTCAGCACCGCACCACAGCTGGAGACGGTTGCTAAGCAGTTTCTGCACCTTAGCAACGACACCATTGTCACCGGAGTTTGGGTCGAGCTGTGGAAGGAGAACAGAGAATAATAACATCCCTTTAACAACAATTTGACCAAATTTTAAGGAAATGTTTGTGAGGCTGTTTGACTACACTTCTGGTCTCTTTTTACTAGGTGTGCAGATTATAGTGTACACACAAAATACCACAACACCCATAAGGTCTTCAATAATCTGCCTGATAACTGCAAAAACACAAACTGAGATTAAACTAGCACTCTGTTATAAGAAACACAATTTTTATTGCCTAAGGAGAAGGTGGCGTTTTTGCTTGAGTTTGCATATTTGTTTGTCCGTAGTGTTAGCATTTTTTTTTTGTCCTTAACCAGTGGACAGTTTTTGATAAAACTATCAGAAAGTAGCTATTGCAGTAGCAATAGTAGCTGAGTGTCTGCTATTCATTTTTTAAAATCTTACCATAATCACGTCCCCTTTTAGTGTTTGACAAGTTGATTAAACCTCTAACTTTAAATCAATTTACTCCTGCAACATTTAAAATATCAGCCACTATATATAACTGGCTCATATTTGTTATGATATGAGTAGGATTTATTTAATTTCTAGCTACGGCAGCGGTGATGCACAGAACACGTTCTCAGATTTGACTAAGAATAGCTGTAAGAAAAAGCGCAGCAGCAGCCAAACTCCTCCTGGCCAAAATAAATACTCCCAAAGCAGCGCTGATATTCGCCTGCACGATGATGCCCTATTAAAGTTTGACTGTTTCGTTTAAGGTGTAGCAGGTGCAGCTTGTTTTATTTGGCTTGTTCACAGGTCCTCCTGGGTCTCTTAAAAACACGGCTCACACTCGAGCTCCTCAGCAAGTCAAACTAGAGAGCTGATGGATAAAAACAAACCCACTTGCGCCTAATTGGATTTTGGTTCACTGCTGTATAGAGGTCAACAGTTTCATAGAACTAAAGAGGAAGGCCTTGTTTACTCTGAGAGTGAACAATACATATGTATTACCTGCCACCCAAATCAAAAGTGGACAATAATTGTTTGGCCAGTATCTGTGTATGTTTATTACCAAAATATATCAGAACTTACTGGATGAATTTTAATGAAACTCTGACAGTAATTATTTAATGTACGTCTACAACTGATTACTGTTTGGAGTCAACCTGAATCAAGATGGCTGCCACAGTTATCAGCTAATACACAAATGGCTCTAACTCAATTCAAATTCAGAAATACTTTATTAATCCCAAAAGGAAATTAAATGTAACTCGTTCTCTTCGTTTCATTGAGATGTTAGATGCTGATGGCTGTAGGCAGAAGGATCTCTTGTAAAGGTCTGTCACACAGCAGATCCAAAGAAAGTGGCCGCAGATGCCGTCCGATCCGTCCACCCAGACTTGACTGGGCTCTCGGTTCCCCCAGACTGCAGGACTGCCCAATGCCGGGCAGAACTCCTCCCATCCAGAGTGATGACTACTCCTCCCAGCAGCCTGCCGAGCTCCTCGTCGCTGCGGACAGCCGGCTGCAGGTGTCGGGGGACGATCTCGGTCCTTCTGCTGCCTTGAGCCACATTTCCTGCCAATTCCAGGATCTCCGTTGTCAGGCACTCGAGCAAGGAGACGGGAATGCATCCATGGAGCCTCCTTTTCAACTCATGAGATTTGGGGCTGGAGCTAAACTATTATTTGAGCTTTTGAGATGTTAATCAGCTGCTCCTGGTTGTACAAAAACAAACAAAAAAAACACCTTGTTGTCATGGATACGCGTCATAACAAAAGTCCAAAACTAAAAGTTTCAGTAAAAATCTTTCCAGCTGCACAGCATCTGATACCAGAAGAAACAATCATCCAAAAAATGTGATTTACATCCAGATAAAGAGGAATTAAAGTTTCCAAAAGCAAAATCTCAGAATGAAAGTAACAGAGCTGCTCCAACATGCAGCCACCCGGAGCTGCGCAACTCTGCCAAGATTAAAGATGGAGTTAAAATTTAGTGTGGTAGTAAATGTGAGTCCTCTCAAAAGTATACTTTGAGTGCTAATTGATCACGCAAGCTTGTTTTTAAGACTTCGCCATTAACTAATGGAGTCAACTATGTCTGTCAGCAAAGTGTGCCATGCTCCACTAGATGGGTCTCGATGAAACTTTTCTAAAATAATCATTGAATGAACATCTACAGCTAACTTACTTTTGAAGTAATTTCAATTCAAGCCAACGCAAAGTGGCTATAACTTGGTTTTACAGATTTTGCGCACAAATTTGACGTGTTAGTAGCTGAGCGTGTCGGGTTTCTGTAAGTATCTGACCTCAGGTGCAGACTGAATACAAGGAGCTCCAAAATCAAATGGTCTATTATAAAGGAAAACAAAAAGCGGTCATGGCAGCAGAACAAAACTTACAACAACAAAAAACTTTTTTTGTTTCAGGTGCGTTGAGACCAGGGAAACGAAACCTTTTGTAGCACAAAGCCACAAATGAACTGCTAACATGAACATGAAAAGAATATATAGGGCAGAGGTCATTGAGAAAGTGGAAGTGTCTGAGTTGATTGGTGATTAAGAACAGGCGAGAGTCAGGCTGACTGGAAAAACACAGAAAGATGTAGCTAATTGAGGGTAGGTGAATAATGGCACAAATGAACATGAGAACTATGAATGCAAGTAGGATACAAAATACCGAAAAATAAAACAGAATAATGAAAACGGGAAACCAAACCTGATCCTGAACACAAAGACAATCAAAATGAAATTGAAATACACAGCTTATGACAGTCATATAATATTTGTTTCTTCTTTTCAGAACATCAGTAAAAGCCAAAAGGACTTTGTGTCATTACTATTATTAGCCAGTCTGTTGGCTCCTCAGATAAATAATGTTATTAACTTTATTTTATGTACTTGAATATTTACATCATATTATTTTTTATATTACATTATATTATTATATATATTTTTATTATTATGTTATTTATGTACAATGCCCTGAGATGACTTCTGTTGTGACTTGGTGCTATATAAATAAACTGATTTTAATTAAATTTAAATTATTACAGTTTATTTGATAGAAATAATCTGGACGTTTAGCATTTATTTAAGAAATGAATGTTAAGCATGCACACAATATGTAATGGGTCAGCTCTATCAAGCACGACTTGATATTACTGTATGTCTGCACATATATATGCTCCAATGTATAATATATAGCCAGTATATAGTCAACTACTATTTGTTGTTATTCCCATTTAGAGCTTTGGAAGTGCTTTTATTCCATGAAGTCTCGGCTGAGATTGTGTTTAAAATTGTCAGTTTTTTTTAAATAAAGAAAGCAAAGTTGTAATAACTGTGAGACAACAAACTGCAGTCTGGATTTAGTCATTCCCTACAATGGTGTTTCTTGAATGTTGGTTGCTTTAATGTGGTCTTACTGAAGACAACAATTATAAATTCTTAAAGTCACCGCTCGGTGTTTGATTTGGGTTTTCCCTGTGTGTCGGCACAGAGCGAAAATGGAGCAGATCAGGACAGTCCAGAGGAGGGGACGCCAGCGAGCCCCCGAAACAAACGAAGAGTTGGTCGCCCTAGCAGGAAAAGCAAGCAGCCGCTTCCTGTGAGTAGTAATAAGTTATCATTTTATATATCAGTCTACATCAAAGGGATTATCTGTTCGTCTTTTTAAATGTTTTCTGTTTTATGTGCAAAACTCTTAAACGTGGGTGAAATAATCCAGCAGTGCTTTGCTTTCACACCTGCAAGCTACTGAGCGTTAATCACATCCAGCATGCTTTTCCCCACTTATAGACAAGAACTTAGACTCACACTTTCAGCATTAATTAACTGCCATGTGTGTGTGTGTGTGGTGTGTGTGTTTGGTAGATGATTCATTGGAGCATTTGTCTCTTAAAGGAGATTGTGTGGGTTGCTTTTCTTTCCTTTTTTCCCCTGCCGGCAATTTGTCTAAGAACGGGGTTTCCCCTTTGAGTTGCCTAGTTGCAGTTGCAGTCAGTGTGTAAACTCTTTCTCCACATGTGGTGATAACCTCATGGCCTCATTATCATTCATCAGCGTGGCTCCATCCCCCACATTTTCCACGTGCTACTTAAAGTCACAGTGGAACTATAGTTAAAAGGGTCTTCGTTGTGTTTCATGTGATAAATTTTCAACTTGAGCAAATTGTGATGTTCTGTGTTTGAGTGAACAATTTAAAAGCTGGCATGGGTTCAAACATACTGAGCCATACTGAGATAAGGAGTAAAATCCCACACTCCAACCTCAAAGTTTAGTTTAGAAATATAAACAAAGTTTTGTCCGTTAAGTTCCAAAAACACACCTCCTACTAAATATTTGCTAGCTATGATAGTGTAAAGTAGTCTTGCTTTGTACACAAATAATATTGTTGTACAGTACTGGTATATATACTCAGTTTGAAGAAAGCAATCAGACATAATTCATGTTTTACATTAATATGTTTGGATTTGAAAAACAATTAACACAATAATAAATAATTTTGTGTTTCCAAAAGAGACTTTATCTTTTTGTTAATGTGTATCATAACAACAAAACATTATGACACAATCTAAGAACAGATTAACAAGATATAAAATCTAGTTAAGAACTGTTGGTGACTGCTGGCCACCAGTTAGAGACCATTGGTGGCTAGTTGGAGATTGCTGACAACTTATTGGAGACTGATGTTGACTATTTGGAGATTGTTGTGACTAGTTAGAGACTTATGGCTAGAAGGTGGAGATGACTACTTTTGTTGAGTAGTTGGAGATTGTTGGTGACTAGATAGGTTGTTAATGAATAATTGGAAGCTGTTTGCAACTGCTGGTGGCTGCTGGCGACTAGTGGTTTCTGATGACAAGGTGGAGACTGTTGGTGACTGTCAGTGGCTGTTGGCAACAGGTTAGAGACTGTTGGCGACTAGTTAGAGACTTGGTGACAAGGTGGAGACTGTTGGTGACTGTCAGTGGCTGTTGGCAACAGGTTAGAGACTGTTGGCGACTAGTTAGAGACTTGGTGACAAGGTGGAGACTGTTGGTGACAAGGTGGAGACTTGATGACTGCTTGTGGCTGTTGGTCACTAGTTAGAAACTGTTGGCAACTTGTTGGAGACTGTTGGTGACTAGTGGCTGCTGATGACAAGGTGGAGACTGACGACTGTCGGTGGCTGTTGGCGACTAGTTAGAGACTGTTGGAGACTGTTGGCGACTGGTTAGAAACTTGGTGACAAGGTGGAGACTGTTGGTGACAAAGTGGAGACTGTTGACGACTGTCGATGGCTATTGGTAGATTGTTGGCGACTATGGTAGTTAGAGACCGTTGGTGACAAGGTGGGGACTTGATGACTGCTTGCGGCTGTTGGTGACTAGTTAGAAACTGTTGGCAACTAGTTGGAGGCTGTTGGTGACTAGTGGCTGCTGATGACAAGGTGGAGACTGTTGACGACTGTCGGTGGCTGTTGGCAACTGGTTAGAGACTGTTGGCGACTAGTTAGAGACTTGGCGACAAGGTGGGGTGACAAAGTAGAGACTGTTCACGAATGTCGATGGCTATTGGCAGATTGTTGGCAACTATGGTAGCTAGAGACTGTTGGTGACAAGGTGAGGACTGTTGACGACTGTAGCTGTTGGCGACTAGAAGGAAATGGTTGGCTACTAGTTAGAGACTGTTGATGACAATTGATGACTGTTTCTATTAGAGCCTGATCAATATGGAAATTATGGCTATTGCCGATACCGATATTGAGAGGGAAATGCGACCACTTATAACTGATATAATGGCTGAAAATTTTTAAGCTTTGTCCACCCCCAAGAGCGAGTGGAGCAGGGCTTGTTTATTTAGTGCAGCTGTAATCAGCCATGTAGCAAATCACTACTGGTGGCTGTTGGTGACTGTTGGCAAGTACAAGGAGACTGTGAGCGATTGTTGGTGACTCTTCTAGACATGGTGGAGACTGCTGGTGACTGTTAGAATGTTACCTCACAGTTCGGAGATGCCATCTAGTCTGCAAAACTCGTGGGACATTGCTATATGCACAATTATTATACATTATTTCAGCCTTTCAAGCCCAAGGGTTTTCTTAGGGGGAGTGGTGACACAGAGGTTAAAGAAGGTGAGCCTGTGATTGGAAGGTTGTCAGTTCGACCCCCGGACCGACGACATCAAAAATGTGGGTGAGAAAGGTGAAGCACCCACACTTGCCTCCACCCTCGTTTGCCCCACTCTGGGCCCTTGAGCAAGGCCCTTAATGCCCACAATCTGCTCCCCCGGGCACCCTAGATGGCATCTCTCTGCTCCACACACAGGGCTGTGGTAGCTCGGTGGTCTGTGGTTGCGTCAGGAAGAGCATCTGTCTTAAAAACAATCGCCAAGTCTTTGTGTGAGCTAGTTCGCTGTGACGACCCCTGATGAAGGAGCAGCCGAAAAAATGAAAAAAAAAACCCAACTTTTTAAGCCCAATGATATTTTTTTATGAACCATTTTAAAAATAAGCCTCGAGATCCTTGCAGATAAAGAGAGCCAAGCCATCGTGACATTTTACTTGCATTTAAATACAACTGCAAACAAAATCCTTTATACAAATGGGTTACCACAACTTATTGTATTGTATTAAATTATACTCACTCTAGCAGTTCTACTGGCTTAAATGCTGCAGAAAAGAAGACATGATGGAGGAGTAAATAGCAGTCTTATTAGGGGGATAAGTTAGTTAAATAATTTATTACCAAGTACAGAGTCCTCAAGGGCCTAAAGTGTTAAAACAATTATTTTAAAACTAGTGTAAAGTAGCCTTAACCAATTCTCAGTGAAAAGTCTTTTCTCATCATGTTTTTGTGAAAATTAAACCTTTACTGGTTCATTCTTCTCTGTTCAGTGGCTGTCTATTGGTTTTACTGAAGGTGACTGTGTTATGAGATACTGGTGGAGCTTGGGTTCAGCTGGGCTTTTACTGGCAACCTTCCACACGCCTTTTGTCCAACATCTTTGAGTTGTGTTATTATTACCATAATCGCTCATCGTGGTATTTTCTTCTTTATCGGAGCTTTATTTGGTAGCTCCTTTCATCCATATTTCTCCGACCGTTCTTCCTCATGTTGCTCGCTCTGCGTTATTTCTGAACCCTGCGGCAGAAGCAGCGAGTCAATATAGCTGATCAAACAGTTCTAGGCCGGGAGAGCGCCACTGTGAAGGAGTGCATGTGTGTGTGCACGAGAGCAGGTCTGATCATGCTTTGGTGTCTGAGCTCTGACATGGCAGGCAGGAATAACTCGAGATGTGTCACACACGTGCACGTGTTACACACCAAGGCGTGCAGGTGAAACAAACGTGTGAATTACAAGATTTCATGTTTTAAATTTCCCCTCAAGCATTTGTTCTAATAACACAATCATAGTAATAAACAAGAGATGGTAGCATTAGTGGAAGCAGAATCACAGAGGCTGAAGAACATCACTTGTTTCCCACGCACCCTAATCACTGAATATAAACTAAAATAAGGTTAACTGTAGTTGAGTAAATGTTCTTGGACTAATTTAAGCTAAACTGGAGAGAGTAAGGTTTTGATTGTAACGCAGTCTTTTTTCTTTCTGCGTTTCCGTTTTTTGCTGCAACAGAAGTCGGAGACATTGTAGAAAAATTGCGGTTGCAGAACTTGACTAAAAGGGTCATGAAAACTTATTTTAGCGACAACAAATGAATATGTTATTAGTGAGTCATAACACTCTGTTGTTTTAAAGTTAACCACACAAATCAATCTGTCTTCATGTGGTGTACTCAGGTTATTGAGTAATTACCCTGAAGGGACAGTCTGGTGAATTTTATGTTAAATAGTTATCAAGAGTTAGTACTTTCTGGGCACTGACACTCACAGAACTGCTCCGCTATATTGTTTTTCAGACTTTTAAAACAAATGTTTTTAAAAACATTCTCTTACAGATGTGAGAAAAAAAAACCCACTACATTAGCTAATATTAAACCTGTGCACTTATTTCACGACACCTTTTGTGTAGTTTGTTGTTGTTTCTCTCAACCAAACAATGTCCGTGTTACCACGTGAATGTCAGTCCAGTCACTGATCCTTGAGGTATTTTGCTAACACAGCAGACAAACACACAGACACGAGCAAAATCATCACTGCCCTTTCACTTTTGTTTTTGGGGCATTACTTATAGTAACTGAAAGTATCAAACAAATATGTCTGAGTTAGTAGTTGTTGGAGACTGGCATGAGGAGCTGGAATAAAAAAAAATCCTTGAAGATTTATTTGTCAAAACAAAGGTGACGTGGCAACAAAAACTACAAATTACCAAACTGAAAGAGACGCAGAGGAGAACCGGAGAAGAAGCAGACATGCCATGAAGAATGCACAATGTAAGACTGCAGAAAGATCAGTGCTGCAGGACCATGTGGAACAACAAAATACAGACAGACCCTGACAAATTATAAGCAAATGCCTCTGAGCTTTTGTGTTATTTTTGCTATCTGTTACAGTAATGATGGGAACAGCTTTAACCGTTTTCTTTTTTTAATGCAAGTGTTTGTTTTTGCAACCATGCATAGATTCCAATCTGCAGTTGTAGATCTGTAATTCATGGCACAATTGATTTATTTTCTAAAGTAGGCTGATGTTATTGTCTATTAGATTATTCTTAGTACACTATTGTTTTATTGTTTGCTACATCCTGTTCTTTGCCCAGACTCCCCGAAGAAAAGAGCAATTTGAAGTGGTGTAGGTACTTCCTGTTTGTGTGTGCATTGTAATTAAGTTCAAATGGAATCTGTCTTAAATATGTTTTACACTTAGATGCACCACAGGCGTCTGTGTTGAATCCTTTTTGACTCGACCTTTATATTTAAAAGCTGCATTAAGCAATGTCATGTGATAGTTTCACTGATTCAAATGACTCCCGGAAAGATAAACCAAAATCACAGATTCGTACCTTCATTTGGGTCAAACGTAGGCCTGTCACGATAAACGGTAAATCAATTAATCGCACGATAAATTAAAATTATCTACCTCGTTTTCATTTATCAGCGTCATTGTTTCTTTGTGTCTCTCTCTTTCTACTGAAGACACTGGATGATAAAAGGCTCGACTCTGGTGCTCTTCACTGAACCCTCCCTTTCTCTTTTCTCTTTAAAATTCATTTTAACCGTCCAAAATCACGTTTTTGAATCGTTAACAGCAGCTAAGCTGAGAAGCTAAGCTGCGAGCTAAGCTAACAGGCCGACATTGGGGAAAAATCCTCTTGTCTTGTTGAAGCTCTAAAATTCACAGTGGAAACCCGTACCTTCATGTAAAAAGTTGTTTTTCTCTGAAAATAGAAGCTGAAAACTTGTTTACTGATTTTTTTTTTTATTAAAAGCTTTGTGTAAAAAATGCTATGCTAAAGAGCTCCAACCACACCGAGCTTCCACCATTTTGAAAACTGAAAAAAAAAGGACAGAGAAACAGCCCATGTCACATCAAGGGGCCTCCCTCCCATTTTTCTTAGAGACACGCTGCTCGCTCCCTCACTATCCATCCTTCAGTTCAAACTGTCTTATACTGCTATCCAGTGGTCAAAAAAGGTACTACGCTCAAAAATTTACCAACATTTCTTTCTAAATTTGACAATAATTACTAATTATTGTAAAATTGTAAACAGTATTATCGTTTATCGCAATAATTTCTGAGTCAATTAATCGCCCAGCACAATTTGTTATCGTGACAGGCCTAGTCACACGCTGAGTTTACTGGCCCAAAATAAAGCCCAACTAAAGCACCTGCGCTCACAAAAAAGGAAGTGTGCAGCCAGCTCTCTCCATCTGGCTGCACACCTTCTATTTGGTGCTAAAAATAAAAGCGGCAAAAATGCGAAGTTACTGAGGATCGTCGCCCTCGTAGCAACTCAAAGAAACCCAGATATTTTTCTGAAGAGTTCTGTGGACCGAGCCAGAGCTGAAATGAGTTTACGTTCAACATGTGGCCAAAACGACTGCACTTCCAGATTCCTCTGTTTCTGCTGAATGTGTAAGTAGTCAGTTGTTTGCTTAAAAGTTAGCTGTAGAAGCCTTAAATTGCTTAATGCAGCTTTATTACCATTTTAACTGTTAATGCTCATGTCCACAACATATGAAGTTAGACACCGTTCACGTATTTGAATTATTCATCTCGTCTTTGTATTGAGCATATTTTATTTATGAAATTCTCAGCTAGTGTATTTTAAAAGCACGTGCTTGAGCTTTCCATAGCAAGAATCAGCCATCATAGCTGTTTAACTAGTATTTTTTTTATTGTTTTTTTAAGGTATACTTTTTATTTTAAACGCTAAATCAGTTTTACCATATTTTGTCAAGCTGCTGTGTTTATTTTAGCAGTTTACCTCAACGTTTGTTACAAATGTAGCTTCTTTGCTGCTTCTAACAAGTTAATGCAAAGTTTTTAATCATCTGCTGCCAAAAGTCAAAGGCGGACGATAATGTTTTTTGCTGATGTTTGTGTGTGTTAATATGCATGCCTGTTACCAAAATGTCTCATGAACCAGTGGAAAAATTGTAATGAAAATCTCAGAAAGTAATAATTGGAAATACATTTACAGTTTGTTAACCTTTGGAGTCAGGCCAATTCAAGATGGCCGTCGCAGCTAACTGCCATTAAAACACAAAAATGTCTATAACTCAGACAATTTGACAGGTTGTGAGCTAAAGCTTGCTGTGGTATTTGCATCAGATTACAAGATTTTTCCAGTAACTATTTGGAGTCGACTGTGTCGACCTGTTAGCAAAATATCTCATTAATCACTGCCCATATTTTATTGAGAGGGAATTTTAACAATGGATGCACATCTACAACTGATTACCTTTTAGAGCCAACTAAGTCAGAGCCAACTCACCTTTGAGCTAAAATTTGGTGTGATTGTAGCTGAGACATGTAAACTGAGATCTTAGCTTCCAACATTAGCATTAACTGTGGGGGTCAACCTCGTTTGTTTATTAGCAAAATAACCATCAAATTGATCATTGGCTGGATATCTATAACTGATTATCTTTTGGAGTCAGTCCAATTCAGGATAACCGCCACCACTAATTGACATTATCCAACACAAAAATGACTATGCCTCAGTGTATTTAACAGATGCTGTACTAAAATTTGATGTGGTAGTAGCTGAGGGTCATCCTTAACACATAATCTGAGCAAGATGTCTTAAAAATAGTTATTTCAACATTTAATTAAAACAGCTACAACTGCATCATTTCTCAATACAAGACGATCTTTTCTAAAATGTTGGGATGAAATGCATTTCTTCAAGGACTGCTTGGTCTTTATTGATTTTTGAGCAGTCTCTTTCAGTATCACCAGCACCAGAGTTGAGAACATTTTACCGTCGGTAAGATTAAAACTAATTGGGTGTACTGTCGTCAGTAAGCAGACTAGAGACGTGAAACCCCAGCTGTTTTTTTAATGCTGGATCCTACATTACTGTATGTAGATATTAGATTTACAGCTGATGGAGGGGGAAGTAAGTGGCCAATTTCTATACGCTGTTTACAATTGAAACACCACACTGCAAAGATTAACATTTTAGCTATTATGTTTGATCTTTTGGATCCCGTTCAGGTGTGCAAAAAGTGCGCTGAAGTCTTTCCTGGGGCTTTTTTAGCCACCTTTTCTGTACTCAGCCTCCTCTGCTCCTCAATGTGGAGCTTGTTAGCACGAGCTGGTTCTACTTAAGTCTTTGTGCTTGGCCGTTCACCCCTTCACTCCACTTTTTAACTACTCACCTATAAAATTCTGTTAGCAGCACACACACGTAAAAACTCTGCTGTTGTTTTATAGCCTAAATAAAGAGAGTTTAACATGACATGCTGGCCATCTAATGGAGACACCTAATTAAGCAACCAATTAGATAGTCTTGCAGTTTAATTATAAAACAGGTACCTTTCAAAACCAAACACTAAATATTGATCTGATTTTATTTCAATTTTTACACTTAAATATAATGTTATGAGCAGTTACAATGATTTCACACAAGTCATCCTTGTGTTGCGCTTGTAATCATTAACGCTGTTAATAACTCCCCCTCTTTATCCCATATATATGTGTGTGTGTGTGTGTGTGTGTGTGAGCCCTGCAGGACATACCTGCTCAGTGTTGCACTAATAGGTGTACACTAACAGGAATGGGCAGGTACTGCTGTAGCTTCGGACTGCATCTGTTTTATGTGAACGTATAAAAACTGTATGTACGGTGAATGCACTGCCCTTTAAATAGTCTAGACAAGCGTTCTCAGACTTTGCTCTGTCTGTTTCTCAGGAGATGGCGACCTCTGACCCCTGTGCAAACGCGCCCCCAACTCCGCCTGAGGACCTCGAGCCCTCCCCTCGCAAGAAGCGTAGGCGCCAGAAAACTGAGCAAGCTGAGAAAAATAAGGGTATGAATTCATTGTATATTTTACATAGTTTTGATAGAGCGGCATGTACGTTTAGTTTAAGTTGGAAATGATAATTAGCATGATTTATTGTGTTATTTAAATTAATTTAACTATCAACACTATTTAGTTTTAGTTTTTTTTTAATTAACCATCAAAACCACTTGCAGATTGCTGCTTTAGAAGGCATTTTGAATATTCAAATATTAAAGGTTATAGCAGAGTGATGAAAACCATGATTTTACTTATTCTTTAAAGCTCCTGGTAAATGTGTACAAATGACCCCTTTCCTTTTCTCACAGATGAGCCAGAAACTGACAGAAACTGTGACTCCCCCAGAGAGGTAAGAAAACCTGTATCTGTGACATGTCTACTTGTTTTTGGCTTGCATAAATGAAACTATCCACTATGATATTTGTTTGTTTGTGTGCTCAGGTCGAGACTGGGAGGCTCCGAAGGAGGCCTGTCCCCAGAGTGACTTTCCAGGCTGGGGATCCGTACTATATCAGCAGGAGGCAGAAAGAAGAATGGCTCAGTCGCTGGAAAATTGAGGTGGGAGAGGAATAGGCCCGATTCAGTTTTATTTTGTATGCCAGGGAATTTACCTCATTATGTACCGTTTCTGTTTAATTCACTCATATAAAACAAGTAAACCATCCTAAATTTCTGTTAAAAAATTGATGCAGTCAGCTTGGCCTGTCATGATCACAAATTGTGCAATTCATTGTCTCAGAAATTATTGCGATAAAACGATAATATTGTTTGAAATTTGACAATAATTAGCAATTGTAAAATTTAAGAAGAAATGTTGGTTAATTTCCGTTTTAGTGTAGTACTGCTTTTGACCACCAGATGGCAGTATAAGACTGTTTGAAACGAAGGATGGATAGTGAGGGAGTGAGCAGCGTGTCTCTTTAAGAAAAATGGGAGGGAGGCCCCTTGACATGACATGGGCTGTCTCTCCTTCCTTTTTTCTGGTTATCAAAATGGCGGACGCTCGGTGTGGTTTGAGCTCTTTAGCATAGCATTTGTCACTCAAAGCTTTTAAAAATATCAGTAAACAAGTTCTCAGCTTCTTTTTGTAGAGAAAAACAACTTTTTAGACGATGGCGCGGGTTTCAACCATGAATTTTGGAGCTTCGACAAGACGGAGGTTTTTTTCCCCAAGGTCGGCCTGTTAGCTTAGCTCGTAGCTTAGCTTCTCAGCTTAGCTGCTTTTAACGATCCAAAAACGTGGTTTTGGATCGTTAAAATGGATTTTAAAGAGAAAAGATAAAGGGAGGGGTCAGTGAAGAGCACAGGAGTTGAGCCTTTTGTCATCCAGTGTCTTCAGTAGAAAGAGAGAGACACGAAGAAACGATAAAGCAGATAAATGAAAATGAGGTAGATAATTTTAATTTATCATGCGATTAATTGATTTATTGTTTATCGCGACAGGCCTACAGTCAGTCATTTTGTTACTTAAAACATACAATGCCAAGCCATCAGCTTCTCCACCCATCTAAGAGCTATGCTCTTACTTGCTGCTGCTGATCTTCTTAACATTTTATCGGCTCAATCATCATCTGGGATCCACTTGTAGGCACTGACACTTTTCCTAAGGGGGAAGTTATTATAACTCTCCGTGCTGTTCTGCGCTGAATATATTAATTTCTGGTGGAGCAACAAGGTCAAGGCCTAGACTCCAAACATGGATGTTGCAAATATTCTACCAACGCTTGGTTTTTCCCACATGTTTGCTGTATTTATAGAGGTCTGAAGCAAAGTCTGTGTGAGAGTTTTTAAGTTTGAAAAATGCTTAAAATGTTCTTTGAATGTATTAAAGTCTAAATCATAATTTAAGGATTCATATTGTGACTTTGTTAACATAATGGATTGAGATCTTAATAAAAAGTATTTCACATGTTTTAGTCAAAAATATCACAGAGGTACTGTATCACTGCACAATCAAAGTAAAAGCATTTCCATCTCTTGTTTGTTGTATTTGGTTTTAGGGAGTAACATTTTTGCTGTGCTTTAGAACACACCTGACTGTAAGTCGTGCATACTAATATTAAGATAAAACATAATTTGGTACATAAATAAGACGCGCCGGTGTTTAAGCCGTGGTTATCCATCATTCATCATCAGAATCTGTGCCCGTCTCCTGGAGTTATGTGCAGCTCTTGTTGTAGTACAAGAATCAGCCACTGGATGGCGTTTCACAGACTTCGGCTTGTGTAATCGTAGTAAGTGTTTATGATCAGGGGTGCACATAACTGGTACGCAGGTACGCATGCGCAACAAAAATCAGGAATGCGTAGCATCACCTGTGTTGCCACACGCCTTTGCGTACTTGACCATAGTAGGGAGTATTGGGATATTTCCCGGTGGACCGGTCTGATGTGTGGGCTGCAGGGCCGGCTCTCCCTGTTTTTTTGTTTTTTTTTAATTGTTTTTTTAAAATAACTTTTTATTAACAGTATTAAAAATCAGAACACTGCTATCGCTGCACCTGGGCCACCCTGCCTCCACCCAGGACCGGCGGGCGGCTGCAGCGTTATTATTTTTTTCACGAGTCGGATCTGTGACGCAACCTGTCAATCAATCCAGTAGGCGTGTCAGCAACTGACTAATTGACGACCTCAGTTTGTCCCGAAGGTAAACACCCCTTACCTGCAGATATGCGGCTCATCATGAAGGGTGTCATAACTACATTTCACAAAATAGGGAGTTTTACAAAATAATGAAAGAGAAAAAAATACCAAGGAGAAGGTGGTACATCTGCAGCATCTACCATGCAGGAAGCTGAAGCAGAGGATAGTGGGAGTAACACAGAGGAGGACAGTGAGGAAGGTGGCACTTATTAAGACAAAGCTGCATATGGAGTGAGTACAAAACACCATCTCCTGGTACTCACCTGAGGAGCCCACTAAAAAAGTTATGTGCACCCTTATGATGCTTCACTGTCTGACTCGTGGTTAAAACCATTCAATCTACACAATGAACACAAGAACTATCTAAGCAAAATCACTGGACAGAACAGTGCCAAACATCTACATAACCGAAATTATTTAAAAATTATATACCGGGAAATATTACCCACAAGTCTTATCGAGGTCATGTGACCGGGAGTCACATAGTACCGGTAAAATAAGATACATATTCATTAAATTAGTACTATTGATTTTTATTATTAAACATTTTTGATAGCAGCTGCTGTTTTTTAAATGTACTTTCTAAATAATATGATGTGATTTCTGCTCAGCTGAGCCCATGTGACCCAGGAGGAGAGGAACAGTTGTTGTTTTTTTTCTGAAAAATGCTTTTAACATGGATTTTTAAAAAAGTACCGGTAGTCGATCAAAAGTCACTCATCTCTATGTTCTTCTTCCTCCTGTGCTCTAAAGTCCTATTTGAGGCTCAGAAAAATGTCATCACACACCGTTTCGCCCTCGGCATGCCGCTGTTTCCTCCTTCGACAGCCAGACCGATTGCTTTTAACTTGAAAGCTGCATCATAAGAAATTCTCCGTGAATTTTCCATTATTGCTGCAGATGAGATGAACAGGTCTGTGCATGACACAAAATACAGCAACTGATCTGAAGAAATTAATGCATGTCTATCTTGGGGGATGGATCCTTGAGAGTACCTCGCTGGTCATAAGGTTAGACTTCTGGTCACATGATGACAGAGTGGGTGGAGTTATGGGAAGGAAAATTGAAACCATGAGCAAGAGGTTTGGTACATGTGGTTACCTGAGGGCATTCACTTTGTGTATTTCACAAAGTATGACTGGGCAGTTACATGAGCACCCTGCTCTGTCAAAGGAAATGTTATTCATCAGCGAGCAGCTGCCGAGTCTGTCAAAATAAAATATAAAAATTATTAACATTATTAAAAATCAGCTGCTCCAGTGTATAAACCGTGTGGTCTAAAGTGTGAGATAAAAGTAGTGGCTTATACACCAGCAATTATGGTAATTCTCTCTTGTCCATTACTGCTGGATGTGCCTCCTTAGATCAGTAGTACACCTTTAAGGTAGTATTTCACTGGGCTGTGACTGTTAGCGATGTTGCAGTCTCACTGGATTCTGAGTGTCTGCGACCAGTGAGCGGTGTGGCCACATTTTTAGCAGCCATTTTCAAAGATCACAGCTTATTGTCATGTGAATGGCTTGTAAAACTGTATTCTGCCTTATAAATTACTTTAATGTCCTTCTCCGCCCACATCCTACCAGCCTCAGCTCACTTTGTACTGCCCTCGTGTTTATGATTTGATTTACTGGAGTGCACTTTTGAAATAGAGATTGTCAGATTTTAACCAGTCTTTAATTAAAAAAAAAAGTAAGTATGTTTCTTTCGGCTGCTCCTCTTCAGGGGTCACCACAGCTAGCAAACTCACATGAAAGGTTTGGCAATTAGTCTTATGCCAGATACTCATCCTGACATAACCTGGGCTCAAACCTGCAGCCTCAGGATTGCAGGACTGCAGCACTGACCACCGAGCTACCGCAACCCCACAATTTTGTGTTTTTATTTTTTTCATCCATATGGTTTTTAGACTTTGAGATGTTTTCTGTCACGGAGAGCTCCTGTGCAAGTGGCAAAATACCACTGCAGCGTTCTTGAGATGGGTTTGAGGCATCCCTAATGACTTTTGAAAAAAAATGTCACACAATTTCTTTTAAACAAAAGTCGGACAGCAAAACGGCAAACTTCTGCAACTCGCACAAGAAAATCGAGGACCTCCACAAACATTTTAAGGCATTTTGGAGACTCCATTGCAAATACCGTTTGCCATCTAGTTGCCAAGAGTTGCAGCAAAGTGAGATAGCACTTACAGTCAACAGTGGTTCTCCTGTTTTAATTAAACTAAACCGTCAAAGCCCTGTCACATCCTGGAGGTTCGAATATCAAACTGCCGTGACAGACTGATAAAATTGTTGCGTACCCTTAGACTGAAGAAGAATTGTTGAGTTGGGGACAGAAATTAATTTGATGTTGAGATGGTGATGCAGAAATGTATGAGATCCTCTTCAACTTTTTGTTTTGTGTTAGTACTTTTTTTTTTTTATATATATTTGATAATTTCTGGTGGTTGGACTGGAGTCACCAAAAAGCCACTGCCAGATGACATTGTCTAAAAAATATTTCAGAAAATACGGGGACTTTAAGTGACATTTGTATTTGCACATTTCACAAGCAGTCACTTTAAAGACTGATTAGAGTCTAACTGGACTAAAAGTGATAAACTGGGTAAATATTTTCAGTCACCTAAATAATTACTGCCGTCTGTAAACATTTTGTAGCCAAGTCATAATTTCTATTTTTATTACTGCTTTGTAGTCCACTGCCAAAGTGTGCCAAGTGTGACAGATGGTGCGACTGTCACTGAAATCTTTTCATATTGAGAAAACAAAACAAGAGTATTAATAAACATACAATCTGATTCAAATCATAAACTTTACTTAATGACTGAAACGTGTAGAAAATAAAGACAGAGGTCTGAAAAAAGAACAAATTAAAGCAAAACAAACTGAAACAAGTTGGGAAACAGACCAAATAAATAAA